GCCCTTTCATCGAATGTTATCGGACCACATTTTTGAAAACGTTAATTAAAGAATACGATACATTTTTATTATTTAGTTGTATTATTATTCTAAAGCTGCAATAGGTTATTGCATACTGTACAGAGAATAATAAATTATGATTTGTTTCAAACCTGTTGAAATCACCTGTATGATAAATAACAGCAGTAGATTATGTTAGCAAAAAAATGAAGCCGAAGAAATTGAACAATTTTTTACACTTCAGTCGCTACTTGATAAACTGCTACCAGGACATACTAATGTATTGGATTCGCGAATAGGACTCTACTTCACTATTGTGTTTATTGAATAATCTTATTAAAAATTCTTGGAATATATTAGAAAAAAAAAGCATTCGTGAATGACAAGCATGCAATTATTATTCCTAACTAATGAAAGATAAAATTCGATTAATTACAATCACCCATATGCTATTATCATTGATATAAATCTCATCCAGTGACATAACTCACGGCTATACAAGGTGGTTCAATCCAAGAATGGGTGTTAGACGGAGAATTCTCAAGAAGAGATGGCTTGTTACATCCTTGATTTCATCGTCAAACTAATTGAATGTTTAAAATTAGTCTGTTATATATATTTACCAACGATATCACTATCTAATTGATTTCTTAGAATGTTAATAATATCATGAGATGCAGCTAAAACAAACAGAATTTCATATCTACATACGGAAAAACATGAAAATATAATTATCAATTTACCATCATCAGGTATTCGATTCTTCTTTAACCATGTTCCACAAGCAAATTCAAAGAAATTATCACATGGATTAACAGTTTTATTAATACTTTCAAGTAAATAATTTGCTATGAAATTTCAGAAATAAAAGAATGAAAAATAATTCATTGAAATAGAACTAACCCGCTTTAATACAATATGGGGTTACACATAAATTCGTCTGAGCTAGAAACAATTGATAGATCATATAGATAGCTAATAATATTTCATACCCGTGGTTGTGACTGTAATTATGGCTGTTGTTATGTCTACGGTATTCCAACTTTTATTCCTTTGAACTCCATATAAAGCGGCAAATACAATAGTTAACATAAGAAATATACCCAGAAAACCAGCTAATATAAATATTATTTGCCTATATTTTATTTACACAACAAATAAAAGAACAATTTATATTAAATCATATGAATAATGAGTTCTTCTGTCAGAAATTTTCAATTGATGAAAATAGAATAGTTACATATTCGGATGATAATTTTCAATAGAAAACTCGATGAATATATAAAAAAACTTCACAGTTGATAGGTTTTTTATATAGTTTTCTTTGTTGTCTTTGTCAGAAAATATGTAATGATATTTTGTTTTTGTAAGTACTTATGTGTATTTATAAACATGGAATACAGAGATGCTAATGTCTGCACTACGAACAATCATAATTGCACTAGTTTTGTCATAAGAAAAGAAAACATCTTGATTAAGAACATTTTTATGGTAATTTAATCAAAATAGAACTATGAAGAAAAAAAGCGAAGGATCCAGTGACAATATCTATTTACAATCGCCGTAACAAAACGTCAATTATAAAAAACATAAAATATTTACAAACCTTCCTTCTGTCATGATCGTTCTGACGAAATAAAAAACTCAGGAGAAAAAAATGCTTGCAATTTTATAAGTGAATAAAACCATAGAAGATGAAAAGATAATTCTTTTTTTTTATGCTTGCATCTTTGAATGATAATATATAACACCTTGATCGATGAGATGTATTAAAGGCCGAAGCAAAAAAAATAAATGTTGCAAAAGAAATGTCGAAGCAGTTTTGGTCCAACGAAAAAATGTGGAAAATTTCAACACGTCATTAAGCAATGTTGATTTTCTTTTTTCACAAATTGCCTATTAAAGTTCCATTGATTAGTTAATACTTTTCTCTAATACATCATTGTATAAATGAAGATCTTAGAGCAGCGAAAAGATAGAAAATATATTCGAACAAAGAATATTATCGTGGCATTATCTTAATGCTCTTCTATATGTTTCACTTGATTTTTGCTATTGAAATAGATTTTTAGACGTTTATTCCTTAACATCTTGATTCAGTGAAATCCCTCGCATTCACATCCTCCTTGTTGAAAAAAAAAAATTTTATCTTTTTGATACACTTTTAATATCTATTGTTTTGATATTTTATCTTTGAACATTTATTCTTCAACTTCTTTTTAATTTCGATTTGTCTCTTTTGTCGACAATTTTTTCTTTGTTTTTTTTTTATAATACATACCTTGATCATATATATCAGGATCAACAATGAAGCATAATCATAAAATAAAACTAGATCGATTTTTATTTATATATTTAAAGTAAATGATTGCAATCAGGATAAAACGATATCATCAAAATAGAGATTATCAAAGTGAATATGATTGAGCTTAAGATCGCCAAATTTTTTGTAATTTTATTTGTATCCGTGAACATCCTTTTCGTTTATGTCGTTAGAACATATTGTGCAGAAATAGTTACCATGTAACTACGATGCATGCATAATGAATTGAGATCCATTTTTGTTGCAGTTACAAACTTTCAAGTTACTGATAAACTTGTCCTATCACTATGATTATCTAAAACAATTATTATTCATTCAGAGTGTGGGTGGCATGTGGCTGTGGGTTGTGCATGTGGGTACGGGTGAGTGTGAATGTGAGTGTGAATCTCTTATTTACATAGAGATCTACACTCACACCCACACTCTCCATGCTCCACCCGTATCCCTTCGACTAAAGGAAGGGTCATACAAAATAAAATAAGTTTCTGTCAGCGTTTGTTTCAGGGTTAAAGGTTAATGGTGAAACATCAAAAATCGAAAGGACAGAGATCAATTATCAAAAATAGAGAGGATCATAATAAACAATCAAGGGCTATCCTATACGGATATCAATAGGTCCTCAAGTGCTATCCTAAAGATTTGAAATCAGAATAACTACTTGATTGGGGGTGAGAATGATGTTCGACGGTTGAGAGCGCTGGCCTGAAGATGGATGAGAATAAATTGTTGAAGGGCCTGAATAACAACGTCACACATCATTACCCTTAATCGCCTGCCCTCAAATCCTCATGCACCTTTACCTTCACTGACTCACCATCATACTCTCGCTCTTTCTGACCCTCACTCGCTTATTTTCGCCCATGCTAAGTCCAACTTTCTCATTTACTCTCTCTCCGGCCATCGACCCTAGCCTCAATTCTGTTCACTCCTTAAGAAAGCTTCGAAGGATCTTTCAGAATCATAAATCTCACGAATCCTGTCAAGTTTATTGCAGAATTTTATCCACGAATTGTTCAAGTTCTTGTTCAGATTTTTTTCTGAATTGAGTTTGTAGGGCCCTACTAAGGTTCACTGTTAATCCTGTCTAGGAATCTCACAAAACTTATAAAAAGAATTCCGTCAAGTTTCATTAGATTTGAGTGAAGAGTACAAGTATAATTAGGATCTTAATAAGAAGATACAAGGAGCCAGTTAAGATCTTTTCAGGATCGCAACAAAATTTCAATAGCAATGTGTCGAGATAGAACGAATCTTGAAAACCTTAGAAATTTTCTGAAAATCTCTTTAAAGTTTATATAAAAGTTGTTTTGAAATTCGTACTACATCAATGAGTTCTTTTTTTTTGAATCTTATCAGGAAAAGAAAATTGAAAATCATTAAATTAGGATGTTCATTGGAATTTAGCTATCGTAAAATTTTTTTTTCGTTCAATAGATAATTTTAGTCAGCAGCAAATCTTTCGATAAAAACTGCTTATAGTTTTGATTATGTTCGAAAGAAAAACAATTCAAAATATATTTTTTAAATCGAATTGAAATTCAAAAAAAAATAGTAAAATTTCACCGACTAAAATAAATATGTAAAATGAAATAGTATTTTCAGAATTTTTTGAAACAATTTGTATTCACATATAGAATTCAAATAGAAGTTTACATTAAAGTCAGAAATTAAGATATTGGACGTTGAAATGAGATATAGAATGACATGGCACATCCAGCTGGGTAAGCAGATCGATACTCTATGTGTTCATTTCTCTTCTGTTCTATTGTGAAAATCTTGCTAAGAAGTTTGATTATATCTTAGAAGAAGTCTAATTAAATCTTGAAAGATGTGATCAGAAATTTTCTTTACCAATTTTGAATTATTGAAATTCTGACAAGATCCTAAAAATCTGTGGCTACATACTTCTTTCAGGATTTAGTCGTTTCCTCAGAAAACAAAAGCGAATCCTTACAAGATTCTGATTATATCTATCAAATATCTGATGTTGAAACATCAAAGATTCCATCTAGATTTTTGTTGGAATTTCTGTATCAATATATATGTATTTTGTTTTTGATTCTTGTTTTTCTTTTAAAAAAATGAATCTTTTCGAAGAGATATTACACGAACTAAATCATAAACTTCAGCAATTAATTGATTTTTACGTTACTATTTGAATTAGAAAATGATGTTTCCATACTTAATTAGTTATTTTAGAACGACAAATAACTCAACTTTCAATCGTGCTTTTTTCTATTAAAAAAAAACGCCTTTATTCATTTATTTAGTAATTAGTTTTTCTTGACTCATTTTTCGAACGTGTAACTCATCATCAAACATATAAAACGAGAGAAAAAGAATAAAGGTGAGAAGAGTATCATGTAAATGTATTTTATCTTTTTCTTTGATATTATAAAATGTGTATTTACAGATGACGTGTCTATCAGATTGAAGGATAATAATATATACAAACAAAATCATTCAAGTGGAAAAGATACGTATTTCGATTTTAATCTCGTGGATCGATAAAAATACATAGATTGATTTGATACAGTTATATTTAGACAGAGTAAATTAAACGAGAATCTTTTCTAGTTTAATTTTTATCGCCAAACCAAAATCTATATAAACTTCTTATCAGCTTTTACTCTCTCTCTCTCTCACTATATCTTTAGATAATATTTTAAATTGTCAAATGTCAAGTAACATTGATCACGAATCAATATGCAATATATGTAATAGATCTTTTAATGAACCACAATGTTTTCCCTGTCGACACATCTTTTGCAAAACATGTATTATACAATGGTTTGAAAAGAATAATACATTGTGTCCAATATGTCGACAATCTGTTTCTATTAACGATGTGACAGATGTTGATCCGATTGTACACAAGAACATCGATGATATTTGCAATAACATTAACAAAGAACATTTTAAAGTGAATACACATAATTTATTATCAAATAACAAATCTTCACAAAATGAACAACAAGATCAATTGTATCAACAGTCACCAACAATACTTGCTTTTGAACCGTTGCGATCTATTTTTGCGGAAGTTTTTAATAAAAATCAACAATTGAACGAAAAAACAAATCAATTAGAAAAAGAGATTCATCAAGAACATGACACTTATATTAATGATCTTCAAGATATTAACAAACATCTTAATACATTTGTTGATCAATATAGCAATCGTCTAAATAAAGATCAAATTCAAATAGATGAAATACGCACTGAAAATCAATGTCTGAACAAACAAGTCAACGAGCAAATAATAAAATGTAATGAACTTCAAAGAGACAATCGATTTCTTAAAGAGAAAATAGATCAAATCGAACAACAGTATCAAAATCATATTAAAGAACTTGAAAGCACTAATCATCATTTGGATACATGTGTCACACAATTGACAAATCAATTAAATAGCGTTATGATACAAATAAAAAGAATCGAAGATGAGTGTCAACAACAAGTCAAAGAAGTTAATCAATATGATGATCGATTGATTATATACAAGATTCAGAATGAACAACTTAAACAACAAGTTGATGCACAATGTATACAATATAATGAACTCCAAAATGAGAATCGAATTTTTAAAGAACAAATCAAAAAATTCGAACAGCAATATCAACAAGACCATCAAACTCACTTTGAAGCACTTAATCATAAGATCACACAACTGAACGATCAATTAAACAATTACGACATCCAAATAAAAGGTTTGGAAGATGAAAATACACAACTCAAAATACAAAGTCAAACTCAACATGAAGCTTATATGAAAGAACTAAAAGACACACTTTATCATCAGAGTGAACAACTGAACAATCATGAAAAACAGATTCAAGAATTACAAAGTAAAAATCAAAAACTTGAAGTACAAATTGATGAACAGATGAGACAATACATTGAACTCTCAACAGACAATCGATCTCTGAAAGAACAAGTACAACAGATCGAACAACAGTGTCAACAAACTGATCAGTTGCAAATTAAAGAACTTGAAAACACTAATAATCGTTTAGATGCGTTTATCGAACAATTCAACGATTATTTAGATCACATTCAAATTCAAGCGAGCAAAGTTAATGATGAGAATGAACAAGAATATCCATCTAACATTACAGAGATAAACAATACTAACGATCGTTACAGTTCATGTTTTACACAATTGAGTGGCCAATCGACAGATGATGAGCCTGAAGTTGATGATCAGAGTCAGAAAAAAGCAAGAATTCCATCCGATGAACATGAAGATCAGCCAGAAATGGGTATTAAGTATTTAACAAAACGAGGAAAATATGTATTAGGTAAGTGAATGTAATGATATCTCATCGAAAACTAGTTAAATATTAAAAGATGACAAAAAACAAAAGAAAAATTTTCTCTTTTTAACCATATTAAATAATGATTAGTAATTTTTTTTTTCATCAATATATTTCTTTTTGTGGTTTAGACGTAAATCAATATCAAAATCCAAAACTTGAACAAAAAATTCAACAACAAAAAAGTAATTCACAAGTGTATTTGAAAGGACAAAAATTAATTGATCAAGATATGGACATGGTTATTAAAGAAGCTATTATCAATAAACAATGTACATGGCTCTATTTATCATCAAATAAAATCACATCAGTCTGTGTTTCGATTTTAGCTGAGGCATTGAATAATAACAAAACATTAGAACGATTGTATCTATCCGATAATCAAGTTTGTGATGATGGTGTTTCTTCTCTTGTTAAGATACTTTCACTCAATAATAATATTCTCAAACGACTTAATCTTACAAAAAATGGAATTACAGAAAGAGGTGCGAAATATCTTGCTGAAATGATTAAAGCAAATAATATATTGACCCATCTTTATCTTGGAGAGAATGAAATAAACGATCATGGAGTTCAAATATTGTCGGATGCAATTGAAAATTATAACACAACTATCAAATATTTGGATCTTTCTTCGAACAAACTATTGACTGATGAAAGTATTGATTCTCTTCTTCAGATGATCAAAAATAATACATCATTGAACAAAATTCAAGTATATAATTGCAGTTTATCTGGAAAAGGCAAACAAAGACTTAAAACATCAGAACAATCAAAGGAAAACTTTAAAGTGTGTGTAAATAGTTTCTTCGATTAATAATATAGAAGATTTGTTCTACTTAAAGAGAAACTACATTTTAATTTATTTGAGTCTAGAAAATAATCAAATGTAACATATTTAATTATTCTACTCATTTTTTCACATTAAAAATAAATTAGCAGTTCGAAATAATACCATCACTAGTTATCGTTTTAACGGCATACGTTAACATTATTGATGCTGATCTTCAACTACAAAATATGTATTAAGATAGTTTTTATTCTTCTTTTTGTATCTTCAGACCATAAAGTTACCTAATAGCATCTTGATGATTAATGCATTTTTATGTTTCTTATGAAATAACATAAGAAATAAAATAAATATAGTAAAACTTTATTGTGTTCTTGTTTGACATATAAAATGTGAATCTATTCTCTTTTCGAAAGACACTTCTGTTTTCTATTTTAATATCAAACAAACGATCAATTGTTAATTTAAAAGTAATTTCAATATATTTTTCAACGTTGTTATCTATATTTATCTTAACTGTAATTTTAGTATATCTCCTGTCAAAATTTAATGTTATTCGAATAGTCCCAATACTCTTTCCGATTGTTGAATACAAAAAAGTTCATTTCGATATTGAAACAAAAATAAGGAAGAAACAATGAAACGAACACCACTCAATTTAGTAATTTTTCTTGATCGTAGTAGATCCATGTCATCCAGTAATAAATTAATATTCGTAAAAGGAGCCAAGTCGTTTCTGTTCCCAAGTGAGCAAAAGACGGATTAAATGACTAGTCTTTTTTCTAGTCATATCGAGTTGTCTTGTCTACTCTTTGTCTCAAAATCAACTCGTTCGTTACTATTGTCTATTTCAAAATATAATGTGCTCCACTGTTTTTTGAATAATTCAAGAACGCAATCAGCTAGAGACCTGCAGTTTTCATTGATCGATAGAGGAGCTACTGGAAGAATGTGAGCGTGAGTGTGAATGAGTGTGGCTGTTGGTCTTTTGTTTGAACAAACATATCCACACCCACACCCAAAAATCAATTTTTCTGACGACCCGTTTGAGTTATAGAAACTCTGATTATACAAATCGATAGAGCTCATCAAGGTCTACTTGACAGAAATTTCTCAGGCGAAACTGGGATAAAATTACTTTTCAGAGTACTTGGATCGCATGGCGAAAAAATGACGATATTGATTTTTAAAGCGGTCAATTCGAGCTATTGAAAATCTGATTATACTAATCGATAGAGCTCGACGAGTTCTATTTGGAACAAATTTCTAAACTAATCCTGGCTGGAAATACTTTTTAGGGTATCTAGACTCTATGGAAAAAAGTTAAAAAATCGATTTTCTAGGCGACTACTTCGAGTTATCGGAAATCTGATTAAATCAATTGATAGAACTCGTCGAGTTCTACTTGGAACAAGAATAAAAGATTGGAAACAAGTTCCTGAACAAATCCGGACTAGAAGTACTCGCATCTGCTGATAACTTCACGTACGTAAAATTATTAACCTTTTGGTGGTGATGTGAACTACCGGTGGGTCACACTATAGGGTGGACCAGAAGCTCATTTAACACAGAAAAAATTGAGTATCTCTGCCATACTTTGAACAAAGGGGCTGATGTTTTTATCGCGCATAGAGGAACGTTCATAGTTCATATTGATAAGAGAAATGTCGATAAAAGTTGTGTTGAAATACTAGACTTGCTACAAATAAAGAAATGAAATCTTTCAAGAAGTATGAGAAAGCAATATTCATGTCACCGGGAAAGGATTAAATTAGAGTATTATTTCCAGTTTAGTTATTGTACTAATTTCTTTTTCATCAAAAAACTAAGTTTAGTAGGTGACAAATCATTTGGCAAAATTTTTTCAAAGTTTGGTTTATGTTTAGGAAAAATGAGAAATAGATTTTTTTAAACTGAATTGAAGTTTAGAAAAAATAGCAAATTTTTATAAACTAAAACCAATTTTTAACAAGATATTGTATTTTTGAAAAATTTTTTTTTTGAGATATTTTGTGTTCACATTAAATTCAATTGTAAGTTAACGATTCAGTTGTATTTATTCCTCTACTTCGTTATCATACTCGTCGACAAAATGTTATTCAAGAAACAGACGATAATAGGGTGAGGGTGTGGGTGTAATTTTAAATGAAAAAGTCGAATTAACAATGTAGTGAGGCAAAAAAGAAGACCAAGTTTTGAACAAAAAATAAATAAATAAATAATTAATATTTAAGTAAATGAAAAATAAATGAACTCTTTTTGAAGAACTTTAAGAAAAGCAAATGAACTCTGTTTCTGTTTTTGTTTTATTTTGTTTTTTGTTTGAATTTTTATTATCCTTTTAAATGTTTCTGGTTATTTTTATGTTCTTTGAGAATTTGAACAAGAAATAAATGAAGTTTTTAAATAAACTTAAGAAAATCTGAATGAATTTGAATAGAACGAGAATTTGTTTAAGAAAAAATTGAGCAGAAAACCTTTATGTTTTGGAATCAAATAAGAAAAATCAATGGAATGAAATGTTTTTGTGTTTTAAGAGAAAAACGATGAAATAATTTTTAGTTTTGAATGAGATAAGCAAAAAATGTTTAGAATAATATGAATTTCTTTGTTTTTTCGAATTGAAAAATGAAAAATTGACTTATTTTTGAATGGAAAAATTAGAGAAGTTCTCAATGAATGAATAAATCAATAAGAATTGTTTAGATAAGAAAAATTGAATGAAAATTGTGCACCCTGTTTGAGTAAATTTGAACAATAAGAAAATTAATGAATGAAATGAGAAATCTTTCGAATGAATAAATGAATGAGAAATAACTAATGTTTTAGATCAAGAAACAAATGAAATAAATAATTTTATATAAGGAAATGAATGAAATAAATAATTTCAAGATAGAAAAAAACAACTTGTTTTGGGAGTCAAGAAAAAAGAAAATTTTTTTCAACTTTTTAGTTTGAAAAAAGCTACTTTATTAGAGTGACGAGAGCAAACTTTTTCTTGTAATAATAATTTAAATATAATTTATAATTTTAATATAAGAGTGTGGGTGTGAGTGTGGGTGTGGGGTGTGGGTGTGGGGTATGGCTATGGCTATGGATCTTCTTTTCATTCTCATCCGTACCCACACCCACCCCTACCCACATCCACACCCACCCCTACTCACACCCACCCACACCCACACCCACACCCACACCTACACCCACCCACACCCACACCCACCCCACACCCTTTTATTGAATATGATTTTTTTTCTTATGATTTGGTTAATAAAGGATGTGGATGTGGGTCTTCGTTAAATTCACACTCACCCACACCTGAAAAGTCACTAAGGATATCCTCAGATAGCCCTTGACGGACTACTAACAGCATCTCGAAATAGCCCTTGAAAAATTACTATAGGGATACCCCTAGACAAAAGATCTACTTTAATTTTAACAGTAAAGTTAGTGCCACCCCTAATGCTGATAGGGAGTATCAGTTAAATAGTCTGTTCCAAAGAACGAGTAAGCGTTCCGTTCCCTGCTCCTGGAATGGGGAACGCATGCCCGTTCCCGTTCTCGAGAACGGGGAATGGAAAACAATTTTGGAGTAAAACGACAAGCAAAACCATGTAGACACCACGATGTATTGAAAAAATGCGAAAAAACGCACTACGATATGCGTTCCGTTGCTTGGGAACGGGGAACGCCGGCACCCATAATAAGATGTATGTGGTTTTGAAGAGTAGCTTTCACTCTATCGATTGATATAATTTGATGATGGTTTTGATCAACTTTTTCTGATCCAAAACGTTATAAACAAAAATGATGCGAAAATCATAGTTTTTAACACAGGGATGTTTTGGGGAAAACAATTCGGTTACCAGGGTATTCGAAGACTTTGCTCAAAATTTGTAAAAATTTGGATTTCAGAGCAACTTTTTATGCTATTTTAAACTAGCCAAGCCCTTTTAAAAACTAAAACTTTTCGGCAACTGGTTTGGGTGGTGGCTTTATGGACTTTCTCTTAAAAGCTTCGTGGGGGATTGCATATAGTGCAAAGTTTTATTTTTTAACATTTTGTAAACGTTTGTAACAATAAAGCTGTGTAAGTTGTTTCTTATCCTTATAGGAATGTCTTGATCTAGAACATAGGGAAATTATAGTTAAAGAAGCTTGTCCTATGCCTAAACACAATAATCTAGAGTTCCTCTTTACCATCGTCGCCCTCATTTTCCAGTTCAAAATCGAAAAGTGTGTCGGGTTCTGCTTCTCGTATCAACACTTTACTCTTTTTCTTCCATGTTGTTGTTCCAAAACGATTTAATTCGTGTTCGCTTTCGATATCGAGTCGTTTGATCACACCTCTTCGCGTATCTACCGTCCACGAAGCATTCCAGCGTTTGTCGCCTGCCATTTCATTCAAGCAGATGCCGTTGCGACCTTCGATGAAAGCTAGTTGTTGCTCATCGTCAACCTTTACCAGCTCATAGTGCGCTTGGAATGCACCTCCTACCATTTTGATCGACCACTTTTGTCCCTCATGAAACCTGAAATTTGGTGTCATTAAACTTTCAGGTGAGGGAAATACATTCCATGCGTTGGAGAGTAAACCATCTACGGATCGAAAATCGCCTGAATGGGGCCATTCTTCTAAACGAATGTGATATGGTCGCCTCATGAGTCGGTCATACACCACTGCAATATGTGGGTCTATTTTTACTTCCAGATTAATTATGTCTATGATCGTTTTTTCCACAACTGCCACTGTATGTTCAACACTGTGTATTTCCCGTTGTTCGACGTAGTTCTCATTACTTGTCTCATGATCTCGAACTTTGGTTGTCTCTACGATGTGATAGAAAAGTTTCAGACCGACTTCCGGACGAAATTTCAAATCAACGGGTATCCTAGAGTCATTCTGAATTATTCCAGAGAGAATAATCCACTGAAGCGGTCCCAGAAGCATGTTCGGGTTGCTTGTGTACAAAAATATGAATGTTGTGTGTAAAGCTGACGACGGTAAAATGAGCAAATATATCACGCAC